CAGCAATGAATGTACAAGATAATAGTAACACAAAACGCTGAGAACTTTCCGGACAACCTAATACGAGTAGGCGTGGGCTTTCTGAAATGCCTATGATGACATTCTCCGTTTATCAAACTGCCCTCTTTGAGTTTTTCTTGGTAAGCTACTAGATCACCAATAAATGTTTATTAACAGTGGATATATACAGATCTTCGCAAATTACTTGCATTCTATAAGGGTAGAGGAATAATTGAGATTACTTGGGTGATTCTAGTCAAGGAAGATGAAACTTCTAAAATGAATATGAACACGAGAGCAAGAATGTGTGCTTTCATTCATGTGAGAACTCCTTTCCGAAGACCTTGTCTCGAATGTTGTCGCAGAAGGTGACGAGCTCCGGGTACTCGTCACGGATCACGTCCTTGGCATAACTCTCCACAGGGATGTAGATAGTCGTAGCCAGTTGTGAAAATAGTGTGCAGTCAGCCTGAAATTCATCGATCATGGCAGTTGTACAAAAGCATCTCTGGAATCAAAATTTTAGCACTATTTCAGCATACCTCATGCTAGAGGCTCCGCCCACTGAGCGTGTTCATTGGTGTGTGGCAGGATCCGACACGCCCCCAAACGCGCTCAACTCTAGATGTTTCTGTTCTCCATCAATTTTTCTCGCCATCTCTATACTCCCAAGAAGACTGCGTTACGGATTTTTACAGTAGCACCGCCCATCTCAAAAACGCCCCGCCCTTAGAAGTGACACTATTTAGTCTGCCAACCTCCCCCCCCCCCTCCCCCTTGCTGGCATTAGTCCACCTTTTTATCTATCGCTGGGCTCCTCTGGAACAGGCTCATGGTCTGCCCTGCCCGCACGTGGGCAGGATCAGCAGATTCACATATTGCTCTGTACATCTGCTTCGATACTCGCTTCAGCCCAACCTCGAGCGACTCTTCAAGCTGCTTTTCGGGTGAAACTGAACTTCCGGACAGACAACAAACAACAAACAGACTTGCTATTGACAAGTTATATGTAGTAGGGATGGTAGGTAGTATGGCACTGGCATCTCGTCTAAGGATGGGTGAGGCAACTTCTACGAGAGCGGATAGCGAGGGGGCGGCTTTTCTTCGGCTTATGACAGCCGAGACGCCCTCATCAATCACTGTCCAGCTCCTTAAGTGAGACATCTTCTGAGATTCCCGACCGGATCACCAGTATAAAGAACGGATCCAAAGTACCAGGTACTTGCCGAATGTGTCTTCAAGGCTAGAAAAAAGAGACCGTTTGTAGCTGTTGCTGTGCCATAAATGCTGACCAGTGCAGAGCGATTTAGTGGCGGTTGCCCACGCATTTGGTTAGTTTTAAGAGCCTTTTATTAAGACTTCGAGAAAATCTTCTGAATCGGTTCTCATTAGCACCGCGGCGTTACACTTCGCACATAGGCACCAGGAAGTCAAAGTGCCGTCAATAACTTCTTTTGCTACGGCTATGTTCGACCATAAGAAAGCGACCATTTTTGCAAACGTAAGTTTACACCGGTGGCTGGTCCTGTGCTTTGCGGAAAAGATGTGGACGCGCCATAAGTAAGCTGTGATCCGACCGGAGAGCAAAAAACGAAAAGCGCTCACCGAGCTAATTTCGTCACCAAAGAAGAATTTCTTGTCACCAAGTAGATCTCGATAAGCGTCCAAGTCCCTGTGTAGGAACTTCTCGAATTCTCCAATAGAGAAAGGGCCAATATTTTTTACAACTCGTTCAGATACCTGAAAACTTCGTTATTGCTGTGGGCAAAGTTTCAAACAAATTTCTACCCTGCAAAATATTTCTCCTAACAGCGACAGTTCTTACCTTTCGCTTGACCATGCAAGAAGCCAGAGGCGCTAGCATTGGTGTAAAAGCAGCAGGCAAGCCAAGAGATGGAATTATCGACATGACATAATCGTTGCCGTGACTTTCAACAATTTTGAACTTGAACAACACCCTGAATGGGACTAAAGTTACATTTCTAGAACTGAAATAAAAAATGCTTGATGGAAGCTTTTCGGATCAAATTGGACATTTTTCGATCCAAATTGGACGTTTTCACACCAAACTGAGGACTCAGATCGAACTGGACACTTTCCAAACCAAACTTGACTCCCTGAACGCCTGTATGCTCATAGACGCAACTCGTTTGGTTTGAAAAACATCCGAGCTGGTTCGAAAGAAGTTCATTACAGTCCGAAAAATGAACTGGATTTGAAAGTACAATTTAAAGTGTAGGAAAGTAACTCACATTGCGGTGTGATTCTCAACGGTTCTCTCGATTATTCTTGCCAGAGCCTCATCTTTTGGCGATGGTAGTGGCTGAATTCACGTTCATTCATCATTTTATACATTTTCCGTCGCTTCTGACAATGAGCTGTACTGCATTTTGATCATTTGCGCGAATGTCTCAGGGCCCATCCATTCTATGGACCCAGGCTTTTAATCCCCTCCATCAAGGGGGGGGTGATGCTCACTGCGAATGTGGGGGTTTCCATGCTCCTAAGAACTCCTCGTTCTTTGCTTCGATCTCCGTGAGCGAGGTGATTATGTAAGCTTCCTGTCGGATTCAATCAGGGGTCACCTGCTCTTCTGTGAGGTCGAAATGGAAGTCGTTGAATCGCTTTAACCATTACTTGCCTCTCTAAGAGACATCGCTTCTTGGTCCCATATTTGTCAAATGGGCCATTGCGGTCCAGCTTCTTGATTAAAGGAAAAAAGGTATCGAAAATGCTCAACTTTGTCGACTTGATTTTCTATCTCAGGCACTCAAAATTTGATGATAGTGGAATCTTCGAAAAAATTAAGCGTTTGTTTCAGCTTGTTGGGCGGAAAGATCTCTATCGAATGATATAGAAACCATGGCTACAACATACCATGTTCGGGCCGAAGGAAAACTGAACTTATAGTTAGAAAAAAACGCTGTTACTCACGGGCCCACCCAATACGATTGGATTTTATTCCAATTGAGAAGTGTAAAATTGAACTCAATATTAGAACTATGATATCAAATTTCTTCATTTTCCATTTTTTGAGATTCTCGGCGGGAGTGGGTCGCGAGGAGGGGTCCTTTCTGGCCTGGAAAATTGTTCCCCACTGTTGAATTCCCCGCTTCACGCGCGGTATTTTTCCCATCTTTTTCCAGTTGCAGCGTCGCAAAACTATTATTTCTTCATGTTGATCAAGGGAGTCCGCCCCCGCTTGGTAACAACTCAGCAAGTTTAGTGAGTTTAGTGTCTGGGCAGTTGTGGAAGAGGGGGGGGGTCGCATCGGAGAATAACATTTCGGTAGGGGTCCTTTCCTACGCCAATTAGGAGCTGTCCTACCGGCACCTTTATTTGTCTCTTATTAGAGGTGCCATTTTGAATGTTTGTGTGCCGAAATCCTTTATAGAAGAATTGCATTCGAAGGCCGTTTGAGTTCAAAAGAAATGAGGGGGAGTTCTTCATTTATACGTGCATCTTGCAGAGGGAAGTTTTCGACCTGTGTTTCAGACAAACCCCCCCCCCCAAACACGTTGCGATGATTCTGTCGGAGAGCTGTTAAATCGACGTAATGAGGAAAGGAAGAAGTTCAGGCTATGATCTACAAGGGAGAGGCCAATGAAAAAAGTCACTTTTCTTCCTTGACTTTCGAGGCG